TGGCTAACTATAAAAGCAAATTCTGCCACATTTACAATTTTACCCTGAAAAAAAAACCTGGTAAGAGAGAGATGCGGTATGTTACCTCAAACAGGACTCTGATGAGAATTACAGCTAATTTTTAATGAGAAGTACCTACTATATGCCAGGGGTATGCTAAGACCTCTACAAGTATTATCTTATTTAATCCTCACATCACCCCTATCCAACGGATCTTTCTAAGCTGTTTAATAAGCAAAATGAGGCAGGGCTGGCTTTGTGATACAGCAAGTTAAGCTGCTGCCTGTGACGCCAGCATCCCATGTGGGTGCCAGTTCAAGTCTCAGCTGCTCCACTTCCAATCCAGCTCTTTACTAATGCACCTGGGAAAGCAACGGAAGGTGGTCCAAGTGCTTGGGCCCCTGCCACCTACACAGGAGAACCAGATGAAGCTCCTGGCTTCAGCATGACCCATCCCTGGTCATCATGGCCATATAGGGAGTGAACCAGTAGATGGAAGATCAATTCTCCCTCTCCCTCTGCCTCTCCCTCTCTCTCTGTAACTCTTTCAAATATAATAAATCTTTGAAAAGAAAGAAAGAAACAAGAAAGAAAGAAAGAGGCGCATGTTCACCCAGGAAGTTGCAGAACTAGAATGTGAATCACAGTGCAGACACTAGTCTGCCTTTCATCACATGCCCAGGATGAAAGACTCACATGTCTTTGAGGCCAACTCAATCAATGGGAGAAGTGGCTCTGTTTAAAGATCATGCAGCTGTGATTCTCAACCAGTGTAGCAACTGGAAACCACCTGGAGAACTTTAAGGTCTACTGAGGGCTGGGTTCTACCCCTAGAGACTGGGACCTAATTAGTCTGGGAGCCAGCCATGCCGGTGGCTCTAACAGGCAGTTCAGGCTGAGAACCACTGCCTATAGACACACAGAATGGTGCACAGCTCAGTTAAAAGGATTTTTTTTAAAGTTTAAATGTTAAGTAAATACTGGGCTGACCAAAGGTTGTTGTTCCTTACCTCTCCCACTAGTATGTGACCTCTGCCCCAGTCCTCAGTATAATTAGGGTGCCCGCTTGGGAGCTGCATATAGATGACTGACAGACAAATGAACATTGTTTCTAATGCAGGGAGGGTTGCCTAGTCTATAAACTCTCCCAGCACCTTTATGAGGCTGTTTTACAACAAAATGCACTTGGGATTAGAAGTAACCTACTTGCAAAGGAATCTTTATAGTATTACCAATTCTTAAACTGAAGATGACCCAAATATGCTCACTTAACAAATAGGTACCATCAGATTATGGAACCAAACTACTATAATGTTTTCAGGGCTCGTTTTTTTTAAAGGTCACTCATAATTAACTCATCCCAATTCAAGCCCAGTCCAGAGATTCCACCTAATAAGCCATAGGAGTGAAGAAGCTGATTCCCTAAAATTCAGTTGATAGGGTAATACTAACCACTGTTACGCAAAAAAAAAAAAAAAAAGTCATTTGTCACTGGAAAAAGAAAGCAAAAGCTACTTACCATCCAAAAATATTCACTAAATGGGCTGTAGATGTGAAGTTCAAAATAAAGGCTACAAAAGTCAAGTGGATCCATTAAAAAAAAACTTTAGCTGCGTTTGAAATGCTTTATGCATAGTCATATTTAAGTGTTGTAGCATCGCAATCCAAGAGAAAATGGCAAAAAAGTAAATTAAGAAATAAACTTTAAGACTACTCATTCAAGCTAAGTAGGACATTTCCATCTCCTGCTGTGGGCAAAATTGTGCATTTTCATGATCCTGTGTTACCATTCGCTACCCTTCTCCTCCGTTACCACCACCTAAAGAAGGCAAATTAAGGGAGATAAGAAACTGACAGTGATTTTCAAAATGGAATACTTCCAATAGAAGCCATCATGCAGAAACCAGGGGCTCTGGCAACAAGTTCGAGCGTCGGCAGCTGAGGCAAAGGAGCTCCTCCAGCCAAATATTTTGTTGTTGCTGTTGTCTGGTCTAGTTTTCGAAAAGCAGAGACTCAGAAGCGAAGCCTCGGAGAACAGACCAGTGGTGTCTTGGACGAATTTTCTCTCCTTGACTCAGATTATTCGTGTTTGTTGCTGGAATAAATATGCACTCCCCCAGGAGTCACTGTGAGGCACTGGGCAATGCTGAGGGGGGGGGGGGGGTGGAAATGCAGTCCCTGCCTCCATGGGACTCCTAAACCAAGGCACACAAGCTCAAGGAACCAGCTATCCAAGCCCCTCACAGCCCCACCGTGGAATCCAGTGCTGCTTCCCTACTATTAGACAGCAAAATTCTCCCTTGGCCTAATTGAACTGAACTTGACAGGAAAACTGCTGCTATTTCTTTAAGTAGATAAATGCCCACTCTTTTCAAACCAACCATAACATGTGGGTAGATAGCAACAAGTTGAGTGAAAAAAATATTTTGAACCTAAAAGTGTACCAAAACAGGTTTTTCCTTTTGAACTAAGCCCAGCCACTTATTTTCACAGCCTCTGGCCATGCAGCCTCAGTGAGTTAAAAATACTTTTCTTTCTTCTAAGTTGGGAAGAACAAGCAAGACGAAGCAATCAGCTGTATATCATTTTCTGTCATCTTAAATTTTTTACTAGAAAACAGTCAGAATAGCTGGAGCAACAAAAGGCATCTGTTTTATATCTCCATACACACACACACACACAGAAACATCCCTCCAGGTTCTGTCTGTCCTGTTACATGAAATAAGGTATATTTGTATTATCAGCAGGGACTGTCAACATTTGACTGCTTACAGCTTTTTGTTCGGGGTCCAGGAGAAAGCTTCGTAAGTTGAAAACTAACCACAAGTACAGGCAAAAGCTTGGATAGGGTGATTATGTCCTCAAAAACACCACATGGTGCTTACTGTGCAATCATGCCTCAAGCATTTTCGAGATTTACAACAAATGAGATTATAAGCAGGATACACAATTTCAGTCTTTCTACAGGTTTTATTCAAAGTGTGTTTGCTGTGCCTAGCAAAGTGACAAATTCTGTTTGTCCTCTTCCACCGCCCAAGGCTGAGTAAAATGTGTGTTCGTGCACACACACACACACATTCTGTGATGAAAAGAAAGCTACTAGGGAAGAAAAATAAACCTTAAACAAAAAAATACCTGCCAAGAGTGTGAACGGTTAAGTAGTATGGACTTTTCCAACACACCCAACATGGCGAAATCATCCTATTAAACTAACAGAATTAAAAACTCTCAGGTCTAGGTTCCATTTCACTGGGCCATTAGTTTGGACTTCTGGGTCATGGCTTCAGTATGTCCCTGAAAATCAGCACAGTTTGGAACGTCTCTGCCCAACTTTCCATTTCCTATGGCGGCTGACAAAGTGAACTGGAGAGCAGCTAACCCAGAACCCCACCCCCACCCCCACTCCTCCAGAACCATGCCCCTCCGGGATGGGCTGGCAGATGGGGCGCGAGGCTACCAGTCTGCGCGTCCGGACTGCAGCTGAGCCTTTGACAAGCGCTCGGGAAAAGGACCCCGCGCGCAGCTGCCCTCCTAACGCCCAGCGGGATGACGGGCAGGTGTCCCCGATTCCAAACGCGACTGCTGGGAGGCGGCGGGCGGATGGGAACGCCAGCTCCCCGGACGCTCCCGAGGGCCAGCAGCCCTGCGCCGCTCGCCTCCCGCGTCCCTGAAGGTCAGCCGTGGCGCCCGCATTGCCAAGGCTCGCCAAAAACCACTTTTCCACCCGCGGCGGATGCGCGGGGCGAAGTTGGCCCCGGGCCGCGCGCGTCCCGTTAGCCGTACCTTGCAGTTGGGCGGACAGGGACTCCTGGTGCTGCTGGTACTTGAGCGCCACCGCCTCGGCTTTCCGCAGCTGCGTCTGCAGCTCGTAGTAGAGCATCGCGCCGTAGAGAAAGCCAAACACCACGGTCAGCAGCAGCAGCGTCTGGAAGATCCGCTTCTGCTTGCGGGAACACATCCCGTTCCCCATAGTCCCGTCTGCACCGCGCGCCGCGGCCGCCGCCGCCGCCGCCGCCGCCCCTCGGCCCGAGCGAGAGCCTCAGCAGCGGCCACCGCAGGAGGTGGCCGGACGCAGCATGAGCAGGAGACGCGAGACACAAAAGCGGGGCCCGAGGGGAAGTGGCGCCCGCTCAGCCCCCGCGCGCCGCCGGGCGCGCAGCCATCGACGCCGCCAAACTTCTGCAAGGCGCGCTCCCCACGAGTACCCGGCCCAGCGAGGGGCCCCTCCGCATACTTCGGAGCGGCTGCCCTCCGGCCGGTGCCCAAACGCCGCTGCCCGGGTCCCTCCTCCCCACTTTTTGGCCCGGCGGCTCTCGCGGTCCCGCCCCGGCCGCCTCCCGCCCCCTCGCGGCGGCTCCCCTGAACGACTTTGCGGCCACCCAAAAGAGGGGGTGCGCGCCTAACAAAGGGGCCCAGGCGGCGCCCCGCGCGCGGCCTGCCGGGCGGGCGGTGGGTGGGGGCCGGCTGACCCTGCGGGCTCGGGGGCGGCGGGCCCGTGTCACTGACGGGGCTGCCTGGACTTCGGCCTCCGCCGCCTCCCACCCCACTTACGTGTCACCCACGGCCCCGCGCCTCTGGCCAACGGGATTCCGGGAGGAAGTCCCACTCGGGCTCCCTTGCTCATTGGGCCGGTCCGAGCCGCCGCTCCCTCCCTTCGGAGAGGCAGTGCCGGGCTCGATTGGATGCCCGCTTTGTCCGTCCGACCCCGGGACCGCGCCTTCCCTCGCAGCGCGGGGGCCGGCCCGGGGCTCCGTGGGCAGCGCGGCTGCCTGGCGCCCGGGTGAGCCCACGTGGAGCCCGGGCGGGTGGGGAGAGGCGGAGGAGCGAGGGGCGGAGAGCTCGGGGTGGCGGGGGACTGGGCGGGCTGAGGCCGGGTGAGGTTCTTGAGCACGTGTGTGTTGAGTGAGCGTTGGGGACCCCGCGCTCAGGACGCACGTGGGCACAGGAGAGCAGTGTCTACGCAGACCAGGGAGTGGATGGCAGCGACCGCGCGTCTTTTCCTATGCAGCCCACTGATGCGGCAGACGCGCGCGCTGGCCGTGCAGCCCGCAGTGTCTCCCAGACGGAACCCGAGCGCCTGCTATGCCCCCCCGGGTCTTGCGCTGTCCAACCTGCTCCGCCTGGGCGCCTGTGTGCCCACAGATGGCACCCGGCGAGTCTGGAGACTTGAAGCGCGCCCGGCTTACTGCGCAGCAGCTGTCCACGTGGGCTGGGGAAATCAGTTTGCCTTTGGCACAGGGGAAAGAAATGATCTCATGTTTTTCTCCTGGCTGCGAATAGAATAGAAACAAATCTTAGAGGTTGAAATCAGTTTTGTCATATGTGTAAGTTTTGTGTGGTGGCACAAAAAAAAATTCAGTTTTATTTCTAAATTATATTTTAAAGGTCAACAAAGCTTTCCTGTGTTAAAAAAAATCAGGTAAAACAAACGTGATAACCACAAACCTCTTAAAAAAGCTGTGTAGTGCGTTTGTTCTATGTACTTGAGGGGTACAAGTTGAAGTTATGCAGAAGTGAAGATTTGTTTTCTGCCCTTGACCTGAATTCTAGGGAAAGTAGATGACATTTCAAATGCCTCAATAGTGTGGTGGAATTGGTTGCATACTGCATAATTTTTATGTTTCTAACTGGATTTATTCATCACCATGGTTAAGGGGCAATGAGTGTTCAAAACAAGGGGCAGGGGCCAGCGCTGTGGCCATGTGGGCGCCTTTCTAGTCCCGGCTGCTCCTCTTCCAACCCAGCTCTCTGTTATGGCCTGAGAAAGCAGTAGAAGATGGCCCAAGTCCTTGGGCCCCTGAACCAGCCTGGTAGACAGGAAGAAGCTCCTGGCTCACCAGAAGAAGCTCCTGGCTCCTGGCTTTGGATTGGCACAGCCCTAGCCATTGCTGCCAATTAGGGAGTGAACCATCAAATGGAAGACCATCTCTTTCTCTCTGCCTCTCCTCTCCCTGTGCAACTCTGACTTTCGAATACATAAATAAATCTTAAAAAAAAAAAAAAAAAAAAAAACAAGGGGCAGATCTAGTTAGCCAAATACAGCATGAAGATAGTCCCTGGCCCGGAATTGTTTTAGATGGACTCAAGTCACAGGTTGCTAAAAGCCATCAAATAAACCAAATTTACAAGGAAGCAGGCGTGTGGTATTTATACTACTATGGAAATTGACCACCTGTCATGTACTTTTTGCTAATGAATAGTAGCTTACATTGTATGGTTCCAAATGCTTCCATTTACAAATACACTCTCATTTGTCACAGCCAGGGTAAGTAGTGGACCTACAGGTTGGTAAGTAAAGAAATAGTTCAGCCAAGTGACTATAATAGCTCAAGATCTTCCAGGTGGTACAGAAAGTTAGTTCCTCCAGGCCTGCCATGGGGAGCAGCAGGTTAATCCATTGCTTACAATGTTTATGTTCCAGATCAGAGCACCTGTTGGAGTTCTGGCTGCTCAGCTTCTGATCCAGCTCCCTGCTGATGCACCTGCAGAAGCCCCTGGAAGACTGTCCAAGTACTGGGCCCCTGAGACCCACGTGGGTAGAGATCTGGACTCCTTGCTTTGGTTTTGGCCATTTGGGGACAGTAAAGATCTGTTTCTGTCTCTCCTTCATTTCCATCATTCTGCCTTTCAAATAAATAAAATACTTTTTTTTTTAAGAAAAAGAAAGTTTTTCAGGAGGATTAGAATCCAGATCAGAATCCTGCTCTTTCTATCTTTTTCTCTGTAGAAACCAGATTCTCCTTCTACTTAAACAGGTTATAGTAACTGGGTGTATCTGATCTCTTCAAATGAAAACAAAATTTTAAAAGTAAAACCGCTCTGGATGTCCTAAACAGCACTCTGGCCTCAGAATCAGCCCTTAAGGCATGTGGATCTGGCTGAAAAGCCCATGAGAGTCTTTCCGGCATGGAAAGCCAAGACACTCTGGCAAAAAAAAAAAAAAAAAAAAAAAAACCACCACACACAACAAACAAACCTAAATGAAAGATCTCCACGAGTGAGATCCCAGTGGAAAGAACAGGACATCAAAGAAGGAGGTACCTTTCTCTGAAGGGAGGAGAGAACTTCCACTTTGACTATGACCTGGTCTAAATATCATCTGAGTTGGTGAACTCAAAAGGCTTCCATAGCCTTGGCAACTCATGACAAGAGCCTAGGGTGATTACTGATGCCATAAACAAGAGTCTCAATTTGTTAAGTCAACAACAGGAGTCACTGTGCACTTACTCCTCATGTAGCATCTCTGTCCTTAGTGTGCTGTACATTGTGATTTAATGCTATAACTAGTACTCAAACAGTATTTTTCACTTTGTGTTTCTATGTGGGTGCAAACTGTTGAAATCTTTACTTAATATATGCTAAACGGATCTTCTGTATATAAAGATAATTGAAAATGAATCTTGATGTGAATGGAATGGAAGAGGGAGCAGGAAAGGGGAGGGTTGTGGGTGGGAGGGAAGTTATGGGGGGGAGCCATTATAATCCATAAGCTGTACTTTGGAAATTTATATTCATTAAATAAAAGTGAAGGAAAAAAAAAAAAGTAAAACCGCTCTGAAGAGGCTTTGGAGTTTTGTTGTGTAAGTATTTTATACGCTTAGCTTTAATTGTAACTACCATGGTTTAAATTGACTTATTTCAGTTTGACTCTTAACAATTGAGGCTGGGAGGCCAGTGCTGTAGCCTAGGGGTAAGCCACCACCTGCAGTGCCAGCATCCCAGATGAGTGCTGGTTCAAGTCCTGCCTGCTCCACTAATAATCCAGCTCCCTGCAAATGGCCTAGGAAAGCAGCAGAAGATGGCCCAAGTGCTTGGGCCCCTGCACTCACGTGGGAGACCTGGATGGGACACCTGGCTCCTGACTTTGGATCGGTGCAGTTCCAGCCTTTGCAGCCATTTGGGGAGTGCGCCGGTAAATGAAGGATCTTTCTCCCTCCCCCCAACCCCTGCCCTGTAACTTTGCCTTTCAAATAAATGAATATATATTTTTTAAAAAAAGAGGAAAGGGCCGGCGCCAAGGCTCACTAGGCTTATCCTCCACCTGCAGCGCCGGCACCCCAGGATCTAGTCCCGGTTGGGGCGCCGGATTCTGTCCCGGTTGCTCCTCTTCCAGGCCAGCTCTCTGCTGTGGCCCGGGAAGGCAGTGGACGATGGCCCAAGTGCTTGGGCCCTGCACCCGCGTGGGAGACCAGGAGGAAGCACCTGGCTCCTGGCTTTGGATTGGCGCAGTGCGTGGCAGCCGTTTGGGGGGTGAACCAATGGAGGGAGGGCCTTTCTCTCTGTCTCTCTCTCTCTCACTGTCTAACTCTGCCTGTCAGGAAAAAAAAAAAAAAAAAAAGAGGAAAGGAAACTCAGCCTATATATGATGGGACAAATGTCTTCTTTAAAAAAATAAACTGAGGGGCTGGTGCTGTGGCGCAGTGGATTAACCCTCCACCTGCGGCACTGGTCTCCTATATGAGTGCTGGGTCTAGTCCCGGTTGCTCCTCTTCCTACCCATCTCTCTGCTGTGGCCTGGGAAAGCAGTGGACGTTGGCCCAAGCACTTGGGCCTCTGCACCCATGTGGGAGACCCGGAAGAAGCTCCTGGCTTCTGGCTTCGGATTCACTCAGCTCTGGCCGTTGTGGCCATTTGGGTAGTGACTCAGTGGATGGAAGACCTTTCTCTCTGTCTCTGCCTCTTACTGTCTGTAACTCTACCTCTCAAATAAATAAAATCTTTAAAAAAAAATAAATGGAGACTGGGTAATTATTAGAATCCTTTGAGAATTCTTCATGGCTAATAACTCCCTACTATCGTCAGTGTAAAACTTGCTGAATAAACTCTCCCTCCAGAAACACTGCTGAAAACCGCTCTGGAGGAAATTGAAACTCATGGTAACAATCCTGGCCTGTACTTGAACAGAAAATTGTCCTCACTATAAAGGAAAAGGAAATTGTACAGAAAAATTGGAAAAATTATTGCTCATATATTACACAGTATGCAGTATTTAGTTGCATCTCAGAATCTCTGAAAAATTCTCATGCTTCTTGAATATATGATTACTCATTTTAAACCTCTGATTCCAGACACCAAAGGTATTCTTTGCCTAAAGCTGCCAGCTGACTACAGAATATAATAAATGTATGCCATAAAGTGCAACTCAATATTTTAGTCATAAAATTTGAGAGAGCAAAAATTATTACCTGAACTTATCCGTTATTTCAAATTCAAGAAGGGTCTGCGGAAGTACATAAAATTACTAATGGCAATGTCTTCATAACATTACATTTCCAAGGTGAAGTATGCTGCCAGTTTCTTGAAAATATCAGTGCAGGGCTTTTGAGCTGCCAACATGGGGAAGCTATCCAGGGCCTATAAATTCAAATTACATAACATTGCCTTTGGGCAGGGATTGTAATATATGAGCTATTTATACTGTTCTTGAAAAGTCTTTTGTTATTTTTTTATTTTTGTTTCTTTACGATTTTAAACATAGTATTATGTAATTGTATTTCTATATGTCATATATTTAACAATGTATATATAACTGAAAATTGCAAATCCTGAGGCATTTCACTGATTTTTGTGTTTTAATTCTAAGGTAAGAAGAAGTTAAAAAAATGCTCAAAGTTTTATATTTGAAAATGTCTAAGATAACATTAGGGAGAGTTAGCATTCTCTCCAGCTTAAGTGAATTTGTCATTTTAATCAAATTTGCTTTTTCTTTTTCCTTTTTTTTTGTTTAATATTTATTTGCAAGTTAGTGTTACAGAGAGGGAAAGACAAGCGAGATCTCCCATCCACTAACAGGAGCTTCATCTGGGTCTCCCACGTGGATGACAAGGGCCCCAAACACTTGGGCCATCTTGCTTTGCTTTCCCCAGGTCATTTGCAAAGAGCTGGATTGGAACTGGAGTAGCTGGGACAAGAACTGGAGTTCTAGGCTCTGGCTTAACCCACCACGCCACAATGCCACCCCCAAATCTGTTAATTTTCAAAATCAGAGAGTTGAGAGAAATAGGCGAAGTATAATTTGTAAAGACAGATAATTCTAAATAATGTTTAGGATCAGAGAGTAAATAATTTCCATTGCCAGAAGTTTTCCATATAGTTTTCTTTACTACAGATGGGAGTCATTTTTTTAACTTACAAGCAAAATCAACACTTAAGGTGATGCATGTTAAACAAATAAAATTTAAAATGGCTTTTCAGTATTAATAAACCACAGCGATAAAACTTTTCATGTGACAACTACAGAAATCAATGATCTTTTACTCTCCACCAGAAC